CAGAACAGAACAGAACAGAACAGAACAGAACAGAACAGAACAGAACAGATGATTTTAGGAAATGAAAATAAAGTCAAATATTTAACAAGCACCAAAAAATTAGTTGTAAAGGCTAAATTCAGGCGAAGAGTGAACAATTAGAAAGAAAGTTTTCAACTATGCTTTTTTTATTTTAAATCACTAGAATTAAAAAGTATATTGTTATAACCCTTATTAACCCTTAATCATGGTCAGAATTTTAACCGGTACGTAGTGACGTATTTTTATAATTTAAGTTGCGTCACTACAGAACTTAAGTCGAAGCTTAATCAATCATTTTATAACTTTTACTGGAATTGGTATACATAAAAATACAACATATAAATAATATTTTATTTGTATATAAATTGCGGTGTATAATTTGTTATCCAAATAACAAACATTGCATACATTAAAATCTAAGTGGAGCTGTTCATTATCTAAATTAGTGCCAAAACAATATAATACATACATACATAATACAAGATATTCATTTTAATCAACATCAAGCTTTTTAAATCACTAGAATTAAAAAGTATATTGTTATAACCCTTATTAACCCTTAATCATGGTCAGAATTTTAACCGGTACGTAGTGACGTATTTTTATAATTTAAGTTGCGTCACTACAGAACTTAAGTCGAAGCTTAATCAATCATTTTATAACTTTTACTGGAATTGGTATACATAAAAATACAACATATAAATAATATTTTATTTGTATATAAATTGCGGTGTATAATTTGTTATCCAAATAACAAACATTGCATACATTAAAATCTAAGTGGAGCTGTTCATTATCTAAATTAGTGCCAATACAATATAATACATACATACATAATACAAGATATTCATTTTAATCAACATCAAGCTTTTTAAAATTTCCATAATAACCAAGAATATCATCATTAACTAGTGGTTCAGGTCTTAATTTTGCATCGACACGAATTTTAATCCATTTCGATAAATATTCATCGTAACTTTCTAAAAATTCTTGAAAATCTTCTGAAATTTAATACCATATTTAAAAATATCATAAAGCAATAATAAAAATGTATTTACCTGAAATTTCATCTAAGCTTTTAGCAGTTCCACCATAATCTTTCGGCAACATGTCCAGACTATAAAATTCTTTCAACGACTCAATATTTTTGTGAACAAGCATCTAGAAACGAATGAATTAATATTAAAAACAAAATAGTATTTAAAATTCTAATTTGGTTAAATCAATTATAATTTAAACATTTTTGGAACAAGCCGCAATATTTTCTTATATCTAAAATGGACAAAAAATAGTTTTAATAGACTTTTGTAATAGTTGATCTATTTTTTCATACATTTTTTCATCAGATTATATGTTTCAATTTTTATTTATTTATGTTTTTGATATAATGAATATTATTTACTTTAATATTACGTTACCCTTTGTCGTAACTTAGGTTTCATACACATTTTAAACATATTAAACAGCGTTTCTCCAGCGGCTGACACATTAATAAAATGTACAACAGAAAATCGGTTTGCATACACTTTCTAGAATAAAATACTTATTATACAATACACGAATAAGGTATATGTACATTTATGCTTACATCTGAGAGCCTCATCAATTTCATTATATCGGTGGGTTTAATTTTACTAATCAGCGAGAGGTTCACATTCGTATAATCACAAATATATTCATTTCCATTATTGATATCATATAATGCGAAGATTTCCATACTCATGATTGTACGTGAAATTATAGTAGTTATATTGAAACTAACATCATCAAAGTACTTTATGATGCAAAGTCTTCGTAAACCTTTTGTTAATTTTGGCATTCCTATAACTTTACTAAAAATAAGATTATTAAATTAGTTAAATAAATTTAAGAAATACTAGATGTTACAAATATCTGTGGGATTCTCGGATTTTAGGATGTAATGGACTGAGACAATACAACTCAGGCATTACATTGCGAATGGAATAGTTCATTTCCAATCTGGATTTAGTTTTCTCGATCAAAAACTTATTCATTAACATAAAGAATATTATTAGTCTATCGCCTAAAAGTATATTAATTTTAATTGCGACTACTTCCTAATTAATTTATTTCAATTATTACTGGGTGTTATCGGAATATGCGGTTGCGTTTTAAACCACTCCTTGATTGATACCAAATCGACTTCCAAGTCCTTCAGTTTCTTTCCGTGATTTTCCAAAATTTTATTCACATCATCCTCTGTGTATAGGAATAGCGGTGATTTACATTCCAAAACAACTGAAAAATAACAAGAAAAAGAAATGTATGAGCTATCGTTTATACAAAACTCGACATTTTAAAAAAACGGTTTTAACTTTTCTACAAAACAAAACAAAAGTTTTATTTTTCATAGAAAATTTAAAATAATAATCTGACAAAACATAAATTAAAATCTTGTATAATATTTCATAAAACTACAACATAATAAAATTTACTGCATAGAAAACCACACAGATAAACAAATAACAGAGTTATTTATCTAAATTACTATAAAATAGTATTTTATGTCTTATTCTTTCTGAGAAAATATGTTTTTAAAAAGGAACAAATGTCTGTAGATTTATTACTCAAATAGATCTTTGTTTTTGATAGAAACAGAAATAGACAATATTCTCTCATTTGCTACGTACACACAAACGTCGCTTTCATTACTAGTACCCGATGTAAAAGTCAGAACTTTAATTAACGTCTGTTTATGCTTACATATTTGTATTCTACGACATATATTTTATTTATTCCTTTTATTTCTTTATTCTTTTCCATCAGCGAACAAAAAATATATTGCTCAGCGCTATATTATTTCAGTCCAAACGCAATTTTTGTACGTGTCCTCGCAAAAGTTTATTCGATTTTGTGTCAATTTTTTTTTAAATCAAATAATTAAAATAATTTATTTATTTTTATATTTTAAGTCTAACTCTAGCTTTTCGAATTTAATAAATTTCTTCAAAAAAACGGTTTTCCAAAACTGGGTTTCAAAAACCGACAAACCCTAGTGTGAGCAAGTAAACAATAAATTATTTTTATTCTTAATAAAATTATAAATAAAGTAAAGTATTACATACAAATTGCAGCAAAGGTCGTTCAAACTATTTGAAAAATATATCAGGACAATTTAAATAAAATATCAAGCATCAAAACTCACCTGGCATGTTGATGTATAATATTAAATGATAAAAATGCAATAAAACTATAATTTATATATATTTTTGAATTATAGACGTCATAAAAAATGATTTAGAATTTCTAATATATATAACATTTAATATGTAAAATGGAAGTTTTAAATTGGTGTCATTATTTTGTAATTGTTAAACTAGTTTGATTGCTGTCAATAATTATTTTGAAATGCTCTCATTAAATAAACTTGAAAAAAACATCGTTCACATATATTGATAACAACAAACTTCAGAAAAAAATGTTTTGTAACAATATGTTGAACTTTCTTTTCTGTGGAAAATATTTTACTTAACTTAAAACAGGTATCAAACACTAAAAAAATATTCTTAAGTAAATATTAGGTTTCTAGGGTTTTTTTTAATAAATTTATATAATTCCAACTATAAAACTGGGTTTTAATCAAAACTTATATTATTAAAACTAATTAATATGTTAATAATTATTTTAATAAAAACATACACATTTGGACACAAAATCATCTGTATAAAACATGAGTATTGTTTAAAAGAAGTTTCATGAAACAAATAGAAAATCGGGAAGAAATTAAGTCTAATCCTTGATTTCCAAACAAAATAGAATATTTTAAAGCAGCGTTCTTCATCCTCCCGTGAATTACAGGTTGATGAATACTTAAAAGAATGTTTTGTTTTAACTCTCAATTATACGTGAAATGAAGCAGAGTATTGTAAAATTGTTGAGCTCATTCAAGTTTAGTAGTTCAGACTTTAAGACGACAAAATGCAAATGTATTAAATATTTAAGGCATATTTAAATTAAAAACTGAAATTAATTTTAGGGTGCTATAGAGACCAGAATTCAAGAGATTATTAACACGTCTCTCTTATTTACTAAATAAAAAAAAATATTAATTGAATGTTATAAAGATCCTGAGAGTGAGACACCTTTTTCTATTCCTGGATATTTTGTATGCAAAACGAGGATCAATTTTGTAAAAAAGTTGAGGTTTAAAAACCTTATTGGAGTTTTTTAATGTGATTTTTGTATAAATCAAAATGATTTTCCTATTTAACGTCGAAATCCATTACTGAAAAAACTATATGTGACTGAATGTTTTGCACTCGGCATTCTCGCCAAAATACGACAACCAAAATTAATCTCTGCACAATCCTCTCAAGGATCACCTGATACTTCTTCCTTTCCCTTAAGTTTTTATTCAAAGAATAATATTTCTTCCTTTCCCAAATTCTGCATTCCTAGAAATACTAATATCGATCACAAATTCAATTATAACATATTTAACCTTCAATATCTTTAATTTTATAACCATATTATTAAGTCATATTTTCTCTAGTCCCTGCTTCTAAATTTTTTTATTCTTCAACCTTTTTGAAACAAAGAACTATTTTTAAGATATTTCCCGTTTCAAACAAGTTATGGTAGCCTCATTAAGTGGCAAAGAAGCCAAGGAGCGAAAATTTCGAATATTTGTAGTTGAGAACGGAGAGGAGAATTTTAAATATTGTTTAACCGTGGCGAACTTTCACTTTAAAAGAGCGGATCACAAGATTCTTATAGAAAAATATGTTTCTGTTTAAATAATAAGATTTATTGGCCCACACTGTTATCACAGTTTAATAATTATTGTCAAAAAATATAATATTCACAAACAAGCAATAATATTTATTTATATTATATCAGTCAACGTCCAGACTTTTGAAATTTCCATAATAACCCAGAATTTCATCATTAACCAATGGCTCTGGTCTCATTTTTGCATCTACACGTATTTGAATCCATTTTGATAAATATTCATCGTGACTTTCTAAAAATTCTTGAAAATCATCTAAAATTCAAAAATTATTTTAATACAGAACAAAGCAAATAAAAAATTGAACGCAAACATATTTACCTGATAATTCATCAATGCTTTTAGCAGTTCCTCCATAATCTTTTGGTAACATGTCGAGGCTATAATATTCTTTTAATAATTCAACATTTTTATGAACAAAGATCTAGAAACACATTATTAGTTAAAAAATATTATAAAGGTTTTTCAATATTAGTTTAATTATTTCATGATAATATGAAAAATAAGATGGAAAGACTAGGGTAGATAAACAAATAGAATATTAATATAAGAATATTAATCTACCTCAAAAACTATCTTATGTACATTTTGACGAACTCAACGTTTAATATACGACAATTATTTAGCTATATGTAAACATTAATATATTACTTAAATATTGCATTACCCTTTCTCGTAGTTTAGGTTTCAAACGTTTATTCAACATATTAAATAGTATTTTCCCAGAGTTTGACATATTAACAAAATGGCAAACAGCAAATCTATTTGAATATACTTTCTAGAATAAGAATGGTTGAGCAATCAAGAAACACTGAACATATTTGTTTATTCTTACTTCAGCAAGTCCAAGAATTTTCATAACATCTGTGGGTTTAGTTTTCGTAATCATTGAAAGGTTTACATTTGCATAATCAATAATATATTCATCTCCATTGTTGATGTCGTATGTTGTGAGGAGTTCTAAGCTCATGATTAAACGCGAAATGATGATGGTTATATCGTAACATGCATCATCTTTGGGTTTCACTATAAAAAGTCTTCTTAAATCTTTCGTTAGTTTTGACATTCCTATAACTTTACTAAAAATAAGAGAATGAAATTAAGATATTAAATTTAAATAGTATTATATATTACAAATATCTATGTGAATCTCGAATTTTAAGATCTAAAGGATTATGACAAAACAATTCTGGCATTACATTCCGAATAGAATAATTCATTTCTAATCTGGATTTAGTTTTTTCAATGTGAAACTTATTCATAATCAAGTATGAAACTATAAGTCTATCACCTGAAAGTAAATTACTATAACAGTGAGTATATAATAATTAGTGTATTTTACTAATTACTGGGTAATTCTGGAATATGTGGTTGCGTTTTAAACCATTCCTTAATCGTCTTCAAATCTACTTCGACATCCTTCAGTTTCTTTCCATGGGTGGCCAATATTTTATCTACATCATCCTTTGTGTAAAACAAGAGGGCAGCTTTCTGTTTCAAATCAACTTAAAAACAATTTATTATATCATATAATCGTTTAATAATAATGAAAACAATAATTAAAAGAAATATTTTTTATTGATAGAAAAAGTATAAAATACAAATTATTGTTTTTTTGACCATTTCAAAAACATTTAAATAATCTAAAGTTCAAAACTTACCAGACATTTTGATTTGTAATATATATGAATGTCTACTATGAACTGAGGCGAGCAAAATATAACTAGAATGTATATAATTCGACATCATAAAATTAAATACATTTATAATTGCAAATGAACAAAATAACTTTTATTTTTTGTATTATTTTTCTCATTTTAATTAAACCTAGAAACATTATTAAATATTATTATAAAATTAGAGAGAGAACGGACATTGCTTATTTACTAATAATATAATGTGTAAAATAGAACGCTTAAATTACCTCATTTCTCGAACCACACTATCTGCCTTCTACTTACACAATTAACTCTCCGTAAACTACACTACGACGCGACGGATATATTCGCTCACTGTTGTACACACATTGTATTCATGGCTATTGTGGAGGCGTTGTCATCGAATCTTAGTTCTTAGCAAGGTGCCACTAGTCTTTTTCAGACGATGTTGTCATATTTTTGATTAAGTTTTTTTAGAGGTTCTACTTGAGTTATCAAAACACGACACTATATAGGAATTCAGATTCTGACGACGCACGTCAAATTGCTCCGTCCGCAAAGGGTTAAATTTTAGTAAATACGTTATATGTCTATATTAATTTTATAGGTCTTTATATAAATGGTTTTGTTCTTATAACTATGCTATGATTTATTTATAGTATAATTATTTCATAACTAACTTCGAATCTTAACAAATTAACTATTAATTAAGTATTTTATAATAAGTAAAATCCTGAGTTTATTAATCAAATTATAGAACAAAATAGATAAACATAAAAAAGTAAATTTCCTTACATTAATCAATAGAAGGATAATAATTGTAATATAAACTCTAGTCTCAAGATCTAGATCTTGCTAATCTCTATAACCCGATTCACGGAAAGTCAGATTAACATACCGGGATGTGCAGGATGTATGAGACCAATCACTCTAACTGCACGTCACATGCGCAGGCCCGCTCTTGGGTCTTCTTAAGTCAAGGGTGTCTCTTATCTTAGAATGCGGCACATTAAAAATCGACATTTTCATCATCATTTTTTATTTTGTTTTTCTGTTTTTATTTTCTTTTTTTTTTGATTTGGAAATATTTAGAAGAGGGCTTCACATTGCGACTAGGGCCTAAAGTGCTTAATCCGCCACTGTTAAATACTATGAACTGTCAAAATACCGGAAAGAACACTTTTGTTTGTGCAATGTTGAAGAGTTCAGAGGTCTAAGTCATCATATCAAGATATGTATCAAAGGTGCTCTCCACTAAGGAAGAAGATGAGCAGAGCTTGGATAAAGCTAACAAAGAAGTTGATTGTGGAGACAATCACTGACACATCTCAGTGAACGGAATGTGCTACCGCAAAGAAAATGAACATTGCAGATAAATGTAGGTGGTCCTTGATGCTTGATAATGAAAGGAAGAGTTTTTTATAGGTAAGATTCTTACAGTACTTTAATTCCTACATGGTTCCTATGCTTGGTTTCTTCTTTACACAATTTAAGCAGTTTTTTTTTTTCTAATTGATAAAATCGTTGTCAACAAAATATATTTTATATAAACATATTTAATAATAACATATTAATCAAAGTCGAGCTTTTTAAAATTCCCATGATCTCAATTTTTCATTTACGCGCATTTTAATCCATTTCGATAAATATTCTTTATGACTTTCCAAATAATAAAATAAAATACTAATTCATTGAGATTTTATCTAAGCTTTTAACAGTTTCTCCATAATCTGGTTCCTCCTTCACTTTAAATGTAGTGATATAATACACTACATTCAAGGTGATACAGTCAATCAATCGGAAATGTGCAAACATTAAATTAATATTACCCTTTCACGTAGTTTTGATTTTAAACACATTCTAAACATATCATATTCATAAACATATCAGTGTTTCTCCAGCTGTTAACACATTAATAATATGTATAATAGAAAATCTGTTTGAATACACTTTCTAGAATAAATTTGTTCTTACATCATAAAGCCCAACTAATTTCATTATATAATTGGGTTTAAATTTACCAATCAATGAAAGGTTAACATTCGTATAATCGAAAATATATTAATCTCCATTATTGATATCATATATTGCGAGGATTTGTATGGCCATAATAATGATAGGAAGATAGTTGTATCAAAACTAAATCATCTTGGTATTTTACGATGCAAAGTTTTCTTAAACCTTTCGTTAGTTTTGCCATTCCAATAAGCTTACTAAAAAAATAAATTTATTAAAGAAAGAAAATATAATTAAGAAATATTACAAATATCTATAGGATTCTCGCATTTTAGAATGTAATGGACTATGACAGTACAACTCAGGCATAATATTACGAATTGAATAGTTGATTTCCAATCTGAATTTTGTATTCTCGATAGAAAACTTATTCATTGTCAAATATGAAATAATTAGTCTATCACCTGAAATTATATTCATTTTAATTGTCAGCACATATTAATTCGCATATTTGAATTATTACTTAGTGTTTCTGGAATATGTGGTTGCATTTGAAACCAATCCTTGATACTTTTCGATTTACACGTTTTTCTTAGAATCCGTGTAAATCGGGGATATGAGTATTGAAAATCGCGTAAATAAGTACAAAAAAAATATAAATAATAGTTTTGGAAATATATATGTATTGCATAAAATAATGATAACATTTCAGAAATCAAGAGCAACATTTTATTCGGAGTCACTATCACTATTTAAAACAAAGAACTATTTCTTTTTTATTATCACAAACTCAATATCTTTATCGTTTGGAATATTTAGAAATTCTACTTTGTATTTATTATTAATGTAATTTCCGGATAGCCGGATTTAATTTTGATATGAAACGCAGTAAATTATTATTTAATTGGGAAATTTTTATTTATTTATAAAGTAGACATGTTGAGATTAATTATGCAATACTATGTCGACCAAATGGCCGTCTCGATTGTGCTAGCATACCCTGACCCTTTTGAAGACTTTTTACAAGGCAGTTGGCTCTATTTCAGAAATAACGCGTTGGATCTCTGTTTTTAGTTCAGGAATTATTTGTGGTTTATTAACGTCAGCATTTCTGGAAATCACACGACCAGGAAAATGTTATTTTAACAAATCGATGATTTTTCTTGCTGTATGGCATGTGGCAGCATCCTGTTGAAATATATCTTCGAGGTTCATTGATCCCACAAAAAGTTCAGATCATTCTCAAAAACCCATAATCCGCACCATATAGATTCTTCATTTTTTAATTAATAACTCTAGAATTTTCATTGCCCCAAATTCGACAATTCTGCTTATTAAGAAAACCATCCGAATGAAAATGAGTTTCATCAGTCTCCGCAAAACTTTAGCCAAATTTGTAATGTGTTTTAAAAAGCACAATACGTTGTTTGTATAGCGATCCATATTTAATAACCGCAATAACAGTAAATGACAAAAGTCAAAAAGTATAGATGTCAACTTGTATAGAAAAAAAAATAAAGGAAATTTAAATCCGGCGTATCCGAAAGGTCGCCATTTTCTGGTCGCGTAAATTCAGTCCACGTATAAAAAATCCGGGTAAAAAAAGTATCGCGAAAATTCAGAGATGCCTGTAAATATCGTCACTAGCCTTTTTAATTGTTGTGTTATGATTTGATTTATAAATTCTTATTTTTTAATAATATAAGAAATGGGAAAACTCCCCTTATATTTTGATATTCAATATACGACAGTATACTTTCAAAAGAGAAAGAAATTGAAGAAACTATAATTTATATATTTTCGATGTATATATAAAAAAAAATCAATAATGTTTACGACTAGTAAATAACCAGTTTTAATTTAGTCATTATTAGTATTATTATTGACGAAAATAAACAAAAATCAAATGTTGAAACAAAAAAATAGTCATAATTTTAAATAAAATCAACAATTATTCTGTATACATTAAAAGAATACAAAACACAATGGACTAGTGCAGCAGTGAAAAACATTATTTAAAGAATCAATCATTCTGAAAATTAAATTTCATTAATAAAAACTATTTGAATATTCTCTTTTACATAAGCGGTTTTGTGTAAATGAATGTTATAAAATTCTATTTTCAAAAAAAATTAAGAAATGTATTTGTTGTAAAATGTTCTTTAACAATAATAATACAATAATACAAAAATAATGCGATTACAGATTTTTTTCATACTTTTTATATCACGAGTAAATATACATAACAATAAACTTAAATAATTAGTAAGAATTACAAATATTGATATCTTTTTTTAACTGTTTCAAGTGTTAGGTCTATGTAGAGGTGAATGTTTCCTCGCTGATAATATCTTTATTACAAAATAAATTAATTCAACTTTGATAAGATTCACCTTTTTATATAGTAATTTTGTTTGTATATTATAAAATATATAAAATCTATGCTTTCTTGATCAAGTTTGGTGCCATAAGTTTATCAATTTACTTATTACAGAATTAAAGATTTCAATAAAATGGTTTTAACATATGGAACCCGTGGTTTACTGAAAAGAGTGTAAATAAAAACACACAACAAGAAAGCAATAATTAAAATGCAATTAATTAATTTTTTATACAAAACTATTTATTAAAGAATATTTTTTTCTCTAAAAGATAATAACCTCCGCTATTTTTTGCTAATATATCAGTCAACGTCAAGCTTTTTAAAATTTCCATAATACCCAAGAATTTCATCATTAACCAGTGGCTCTGGTCTCAATTTTGCATCTACATGAATTTTAATCCATTTCGATAAATATTCATCATGACTTTCTAGAAATTCTTGATAATCATCTAAAATTCCAATAAAATTCACGACATTATAAAACACATAGATAAATCAATATAAACAATATATTACCTACGGATTCATCTGTGCTTTTAGAAGTTCCTCCATAATCTTTTGGTAACAAGTCCAAGCTATAAAATTGTTTCAAAGACTCAATATTTTTATGAATAATTAACTAAAAAATCACAAATTCCATTATTTTTTTAATAAAGTAATAATGTTTTATATACGTTACCCTATCTCGTAGCTTAGGTTTTAAACACATTTTAAACATATTAGTCAAAGTTTCAGAAACAGACTGCAAATTAACAATATGTATAGCAGAACATCTATTTGCATATACTTTCTAGAATGAAATAGTAATTATACAATCAACGATCATATAATCAAAAATCACTTACATCGTAAAGCCCAACAATTTTCATAACATCAGTGGGTTTAAATTTACTAATTATTGAAAACTTCATATTCATACAATCAACTATATATTCATCTCCATTGCTGAAGTCGTACATTGCGATTAGTTCCATACTCATGACGATGCGTGAAAGGATTATATTTACATCGATACTAGCATCATCTTCGTATTTTATAATGCAAATCCTACGTAAGTCTTTCGTTAGTTTTGGCATACCTATGACCTTCCTAAAAAGAAAATATATTAAATTTGGAAATACTATTTAAAAAGTATTACAAATAACTATGGGATTTTCGCATTTTGGGATGTAATGGATTGTGACAAAACAACTCAGGTAATACATTGCGTATGGAATAGTTCATTTCCAGCCTGGATTTAGTTTTCTCGATGTAAAACTTATTCATTAACAAATATGAAACTATTAATCTGTCACCTGAAAGTATTTTTTTTTATTGCGAGATTATCTCAATGAGTATATTTTACTTATTACTGGGTGTAACTGGAATATGTGGTTGTGTTTTAAACCATTCCTTGATTGATTCCACATCGTTTTCCAAGTCTTTCATTTTTTTCCCGTGATTTGCCAATATTTTTTGCACATCATCCTGCGTGTAATTCAATAGGAGTGACTTACATTCCAAATCAACTTAAATAGAAAGAAAAACAATGTATTGAATCACGTATGTAAAAAAATAGTTGAACGTCATATATTTTAATGCAGACATAGAATTTCGGAATTCAACATAGGAAAAACTGCTATGATACGATTTTTTTATATGTCTAATTAATTATAAAGCAATGTCTAAATTTATAAGAAGTAATTGTTTATATTTTGTGAATCAACTTATGTAAAACTGTTATGTTTATGAATATATATACACTTGTGGATCAATTTTGATTATTTCTTGAAAATGAATAAACTATAATTTTGTAATTGCAAAAAGGGCGACTAATAGCCGAATGGTTAAGTCGCCCTACCCACGATTTCGTGGGCGCCGGTTCGAATCCTGATTAAGCCAGGCCCTTTGTAAGCCCTCTCGGTACTTACAGCAATAAGGCCATCGTTCAGCACAGATGATAGTAAAATGAATGAGGTTCAGCATATAGACCTTCAGCATATGGACAATGAGTGTTAAGGTATAGCAGCAGATTCACAGTCAAAGGAAATAGTGGAATAGCAGAGCATCAAGAACTTTACTCAATTATCATATATTTTCCATTTTGTCCCATGAAATTTTTGTACTCCTCTTAAAATTGATTTTGAACTGCTAAAAAATGACAATTTCAAATGACAGAAGGATAAAATCATACAGACAGAAGTCTTTCAAAACTAACAAAATGCTATCTTTTTGTGAAAACTGAAAGATCTTTCTTGCTAATCCAATATATTTGTTAAGTTTTTATAAAAACATATTATTTAAATGATAAGAACCAATCAATGTATATAACACATTATTTTATTAAAACTCACCTGGCATTTTGATAGACAATACACCTTAGTGTGCTGTTAGATGAGAATAAATGCAATGAAACTTGAATTTATATATACGTTCTATTTATAGAAGCCATAAATATCGGTAAATGCATTTTTAATCGTAAAGAATACAATTTCATACACAACATCGTAATTTATGAAATAAGTGCAGCAATTAATTTGTGAATATTACTTTTTTTATGTGATCTTGGAACTTTGATCGTTAGTATCAAAATTATCTAAGCAAAAGCATTGCAGATATGTTTATATGTGAAAAACAGAACAAAATTTATTTACAAAAAAATAAAAGTTTTAATTATTTTCTTACTTCAATTGTTGATTTGTATTCCACTTGTTTTTTATTAAATTTAATAGATTTGTTAACATGTTTCACATAATTAATTTCAAAGTAAACTTTATAAAATTATACTGTTTTAAACCACAAAGTGGTTTCAAAATTCATTTCACAAAATAATATACAAATAATAAAAAATATCTTTAAAAGATGCCTTTTCATTCATTTATTTTTAAATAAAAATAATAATTTCATTCTAAGTAATAATTTGTAATATAAATTTTGCTATTAAAAATAAGTTTTTAAATTCCCATAATAACTAAGAATTTCATCATCAACCAGAAATAAACATTCATCATGATTTTCAAAAAAAATCTTGAAAATTATCTAAAAAGTAAAACATAATTACAACAAAATATATACATAATTAAATGCAAATACATTTACTTGAGAATTCATCCATGTTACGTAATCCTTTAGTAGCATATCCAAGCTATAATATTGTTTTAACGACTCAGTTCTTATGAACGAGCAACTAAAAACGAACAAATTATTCAAATATATGTTACAGAATTCAATCAGAATTCATTACTGTAATTAAGTAAATTTTAAATTGTTATAAATACTATTGTATAAAATTTGTATTTCAAACATATGTATAAAAAAAATAATGTATATGAAGAATTTTCGGGTTATTTTATAAAAACTCACCTCGCATATTAAACTATATTCGTTAGTAAACTGGTAAATGAGATCAGTTGTAAGGAAACTAAAACTTCACGAAAACGTCACGAAGTTAATATTGTCACGTCATTTGTATTCCAATTATACAAATAAACATAAATTGTAACATAATCATTTATATTATTAATTCTCAAAATAACTAAGTATATAGGGATATTCATGATTTAAAAACTAATAAACTATTAACAACAACAACAACAAGAAAAAACGTTTAGTTAAAAAAACATAACTTAATTAAAGGAAAGGTTGGTTACATTCCATTTGATCCAATTATTTAAATACTATAATCCTTATATTAGTCTCCAACACATCTCTGATAAGCATCTTCCTATGATGTCTTACCTCTTTTGGCTCGTCACCAATTCAACAACGAACATTCTCCAATTTATGTTTCCGCCTCGTGCTTTATGTTTTCCTATCTGCAACATTTAAATAACATATGCTACGAGTTGTATTCTTCTTCGCAGTACCATCATTTTTCATCCTCCTTCTTCTCATGAAGTGCAGGTACATTCCAAAAAACCCATGTTCGGTTCAGTGCTTGGTTCAGGTGCAAAGTTGCTGCTTCTCACTTCTCTCTCTAGGTAGGTGCTCGATTTGTGACATGCCTAGCTCTTATTGCTCCAGTGCTCTTCTGTAGCTTTGCACCTTCATATCAATCATCATCATTTATTTATAAAATTAAAATAATACATAATATAGGGTGTGATACAAAAATGTAGACTGTTATGGGCTTTAGCCTCTTCCAGCCTCTTAATAACAGAAAGTTTTACAAAAAAAAAGAGTGAGAGGGTGGGGTGATCTTGAAGGGCTATGCGTGTAGCGAGTCGGCCTTGGAGTTTTTTA